TTTGCCTCCAATGAGCCCTCGAATGCCTAGAAATATCATTTGGGTTTATAGTTAACTCGAAGGATAGACCCTCAAAGGTGATGTAAACGTCGCCATTGAGCGCAAGCACGGTTAACACAATAAGCAGCACTTGGATGGCAATGAGTTCGGACGCGCTATCGACCTCATTGCCACAGGCCCACGCAGGACTGAGCGGGACGCCTCCGTGCTTGCCTGGACTCAGAGTCGAGTCAAAACATGACAGAGTACGACACACAAACCTTGGCTCCAGCCCGGCAGCCCAAAGTCCGAGACGACTTGGATCTGAGACAGACAATAGACGTTGACCGTATACCTATGCCATATTATGAATATTGTCCTCAAATTTTGCGACGTACCGTAGACCAAGCGGCGTCGACAAAATGACAAAATCTTCACCCGTTGCATCGTAGCTATAGCTGCCGTCGGTGGTCACCACTGTGCGCAGCGGGTACGGCAGCACGCCTTGTTGCGTGCCATCCGAATTTGTGTACTCGTGCACGGTCTAAAAACACGCCTTTACCACAAGGACTTCGAGTCCAACCCATAGAACCTGCATCGTCGTGTTGAGGTCCGAGTAGAGTGTGAGAAGATAGACGCCTTGGTCGTTGCGAACCTACGGACCATTTCTCCGAAGTCTTGGAACACGCAAATACGTACGGTGGTCTCGAGCAAGGCAATGCCGGCAATCAACTGCGGTCCATTGAGTGGCACACAGTCGGGGTACGTAGTGTAGCCAGCCACAAAGACGAGGACACCCCACCCGACGGCCTTGTTGCCGCCGACAACACACGTCGACACGAAGAGCGGCGCGCCTACAGAAGGATAGCCTTTGACGCGTCATAGCTATATGCTGTAAACGAACCTTGGTCAAGTTCGAGCGACCACTGGTCGGCGAGGCGGTCACCCACGGCCGCCCAAACCGTAGGCGACGTTGTCGTGACTTCATTTTGCGAGCAACTTTGCGCGACCCAGCCGTGATGTGTGAGCTGACACGCCTTGCCATAGTCGGACCAAAAGGACGCCGCCGACTGCACGTTGTTGGAAATGACGAGCCGGGAAAACATGCCCTAACCACCCATTCAAAGTTATTAGTTCTGACAAATTGAAGTCCAGAATTGAGGAATCGCACTTGGTTGATGAGCACAATGAGCGTAAAGAGTGAGAGCAAAATGAGCCCGCCCGCGAGGAGGTTGGAAAAAATGCGGCCGAACGCCTCGAGCTTTTTGCTGCCCTTGTCCGACGGCTTGCCCGAGACGCCGATCGACGGCGACCCAAAGGTCTACAGACGCTCGAGGCTACTCCGTGCAGACAAGCACATACCGACGGCGGCGCGGCCGTCACGGTGACACCGGACGCCGAGTTTGTAGCTGGCTACGTTTGGCGATAAGAGTGTACGAGCAGGATGAGATATAAGCGTACGAGTCGGAGACCTTGAGCCCACGCGCGTGGGCCGACGAGAGGCATCGCAAGGCCAGAGCGGAGCTGGTTGACCACTGTAGACAGGCCGTGCCGAAAATACGCTTCTTCTATTTTTGACCAACAGGTTCACCCGCCCACGACACCTAGAGCACCTAATGACAAGCTGTACATTTGCGATCGTTGGATACACACCTTTTTCCTTGACCTTCTGCTATTAATTTATTGAACAACGCGCTCCCACTTGTCGCGACGCTATTGTTGAAGTGGGTCCTTTATCAAAAGAGATAAAACTAGGCTAATGAAAATTGTGGACTTTCTTTGTTAAGTACACTTGGTTGTCGAACTTGATGTAGGCCGGCGGAGGCAAGAACGCGATCCGCGGGACAAGGTGCTGGCGCAACCGCTCGTGCTATGCGAGGAGCCGGAGAAGACGACGAAGGGCCGGCTGCTCGGGCTCCTGAACGAGGCTGTGGTGCAAGTGCAGTGGAGCGACCCGCGCAATCGTTCATGGACTTGAAAGGTCAGTGCAATTGCCGCATCGTCACGGACTCAAGGTGTAGAATACCCAGTTGACAGATACTGTATTGGCGGGTAGATGTCGCTTGAGTGGCTGTATTTCGAAACGAGACTCTGGATCAGAAAGAGCGTGTGGTGTCAACCAGAGTCTACAACACCACGGACGTTTTGCATCTGATGCCAAGCCGAAAATTGCGATGACACGCGACCTTGTGGTGTTCTAGTATCAAGTTGATACAAGGACTCGAACTCCGAGATCTGCGAGCCAGCCCGCCAATGTATGCTCTCTCAGAGGACCTCTAATATAGCGTATAAAATACAAGAGGTTATTCGACAGATTTTTCGAAACCAGAACAACGGCAAAAGCTCATTGACGCCCGACGCGCAGCATGGCAGGCGACGACCGCGCCGAAGATGCGACCTTCTTTGACAAGCCAAGCGTCCCGACGACGATCCGCTGGATCCCGGACGCCGAGGTGTCTCTCTGCAAGGCCTGCGGTCTCCTTTTCGACTGGGTCCGGCGCAAGCACCACTGCCGGTACGACGCCTGTCTTGGTCAGTGGCAGGCAGCTCATCATGGCCTTGGCTAGATACTGCGGTAGCCTGCGCTACACGAGGTAGACATACAATAGGACCATGTGCGGTCGTAGGCCACGTCTTTTGCGATCTTTGCACGACGTTCCGCAGCTTGATCCGCGACGACAAGATACTGACGTCGCCCGAGAAGCGGTACCTCTCAGTGAACGCATATAACCCGCAGCGCGTGTGTGAGCCATGCTACACGTTGCTCTTGCCCGACCAAAGCTTGCTCTGTACGTCCTATGGCATGTCTATTCGGTGTGCGTCATGCAGCTCTAGGCGCGACCGCAAGCAACGCTGTGCAGCCCAACTCGATCAGCGAAGCCGGCTCCAAGCGCTTCCTCAACAGGTCCGCTCGCTCCTGCCACCGACATATGTGAACGATATTTGTAGTCCATACTCGTTTACGCTCCGCGAAGAGATTCGCAAGGCGGCGTACAGCGTCAAGAACTTCATGTACGATGGCGTCATCAAGGACCAGTCGATCCCGCTGCCACTGTTGACCAACGCCAAGGGCATTGCCGTACGTGCCAGCGTCTACCGCCGACGTCTCACTGCTGCACATCGTAGTTTTTGACAGTCCTCAAGGTCGGTTTTGTCGTCACGGGGCGGGTGGGCACGGGCCTCGTCATCGCCAAGCTTCCCGATGGCTCCTGGTAGCGTCTCTTTTGTATCGTGGCAAGACAAATGTCATGTTGTGCATGCAACTAGGTCGGCGCCGTCGGCCATTGCGACTGCTGGCATTGGCTGGGGCGCCCAGATCGGCGGCGGTGTTACCGATTTTGTCATCATCCTCAACACCCGTTGTACGATTTTTTATCATTGCAAAAAGTATCAATGTATCGACAGGCTCTCAATCGTAGCTGCCGTCGACACGTTTTGCGCCCAAGGCCAAGTCAACATGGGGGCCGAGCTCGGCGTCGCAGCCGGGCCGCTCGGACGCGTCGCTGCGGGCGCGATGGAAGCCGGTACTCGTCTCGTCTTTGTGGGTGTCGCCTCTCATGACGCGGGCAGGTCCTGGCGGCATTGCACCGTGCTACTCGTACTCGCATTCCAAGGTACTTGACGACTGTGATGCTCTCTAAACCGTGGTGTAGGGACTCTTCATCGGGATTTCGGTCGAGGGCTCAGTCGTGCTGGCGCGACCGGATGTGAACCTCGAGTTTTACGGCAAGGAGGTCACCGCCGCGGACCTTCTTAGTGGCCGAGGTAGAACGACCCTTTGAGTTATAGACCCATCTAATGGTGCCTAGAACCCCCACCCGTAGCTGCGCAACCACTCTATGATGCGCTGACAATGGCCGTGGAAAGGTACTCTCTCATGTTGAAGCAACTTGAACAACAAATGCATCGCTAGTCCTGCCAACGGTCTCAACCGCGGGTCTCTCTCGACGCGGGCGGCATCCTACAGCAGCAGCAGCAGTCTGCGCCTCTCGGTCCCGGCGCCCGTGTCGGCCCCGGCCGCGAGCTCGGTCGCCTTGTAATCGCTCAGTGGACGCAACACATAGTGTACTTCGAGTAAACGACGTAACTACGCTCAACACATAATAGCAACCAGCACCTTTGGTTCGCCAGCGTTTATAAAGAAATCTTGCGTGAGGAAGAGAAGTAACTTCAAGAGGACAGTGCCACGCTAGGCTGCCACGTCATCGGATGCGTCGACGGTACGGAAATTTCCGAAAAACAGAACATTTTCCAGGTTTTTTCGATTCTTTGCAGCGCACACAGTGGAATTCAGCACAGATGAGCGACACGGACGCCTCGTCCGGCACGGTCGTCGTGCCCAAGCATATTCTGCAGAACGTGGTCGATGGCACCAAGACGCTGCTGAGCGAGAAGCGCGTGTTGCACCAAAAGCTCGATGAAATGAACCACCGCGTCTTTACGCTCGAGCGGCAGCTTGCAGATCAGCAGCTCAAGGTCGAGACGATGCAGCAGCAGCAGTCCAAGAGCCCGACCGGTGCCAACGCCAACCGGTTCAAGCACCTCACGCTCCAAGTCATCAAGGACAAGCAACGCAATGAAAAGATCAGTGCGGCCAAAGACTTGGACGCGCGACCGCCCACGACCACCAAGAAGGACGAAGAGATCCACAAGCTCAAGATGAAAACGTCCGAGGTGCGAATCACAAACTTTCTTGTGAGAACCTATGACAAATGAAACATTGTTGGTGCTAGCTCGAGTCGTTGCTGCAGGCCACGCGCGCAATTACGCACCAGACAGCGCACCGCGACGTCGTGGTCTCGACGCTCAACGCAGCGCGCAACCTCGTGGCCGCGCGACGCTACTCGCTCGCGCTTGTTAATGAAACCAGCACGCACATGACGGTCTACTCGATGACGGTCGTCACGGCCGACGAGCTCAGCTTTGAACTGACCAAGAAACCACCGCTTCTCGAAGACGAAGGATCGATGCTGATCGACGACGCGACGACGTTTGGGCACGTCCTTTTGGTATAGTTCAAGAAATGGACGAAACTTATGCTAACATGTTGTGTTGTCGTAGACCGATACGCCCTTGGATTCGATGCAAGTCGCAGTGTCGGGCAAGTTTGAGACCCAAATGGAAGAACTCGATTTTTCACCGCACTCGCTCTTGTGTATTCCGATCCACAATGCCCATAGCACCGTGTTAGGTATCTCTCTTTGATAGCTCGATTTGGTAACTCGTTTTTTGCTATAATTTTGAGCATGTAGGCGCGCTGCAAGTCATTACCCAGCGCCAACACGCCGACGAGTACCGTCAAAACCAAGTGTTTACGTCCCTCGACAAGGAGCGGTATGGCACTTGACGGGATACTTTGATTGTTGATGTGTGGACCCTAGTCTCGAACACCTCTGCGTCATGTCGGGCTCGGCCGTACGTACACTATATGTCTCTATTCGATCGTACTCATTCCACATGGGTTAGGTCTGGAACCTCAAGCTCTCGAAAGAGCGCCAGACGGCGCAATCGCGCATTGAGATTCTGCTCAAACTCAATCGCAGCATCTCGGTCGAGGGCAACCCCGTGCGTGTCTTGGAGAAGATCATGGATGTGTCGTACGAGCTCTTGCACGTCGAGCGCATTTGCCTCTTCTTGCGCATCCAAGGCGAGAACGACTTGTACATTTTGCATGCGAGTGACGAAGCCAAGGGCAACTACGTCTCGATGGACTGTGGCATTGCAGGCCTTGTCGCGCGCACGGGTATGTACTCGAATGTGAAGCTATTGTGAAATCTTTTTTTCGAATTGGACACTATGTGATTAGGTCAAGTGGTGACGACCAACGATGCGCAAAAGCACCCGTGCTTTGACAAAGAAATGGACGTCAAGACAGGGTTTACCACGAAGAAGCTCTTGTGCGTCCCGGTCAAAGACCCGGACGGCAACATCCTCGCGGTCGTCGAGGCCATCAACAAGCAAGACGGCACCGACTTTACGATCGAAGACACGCTTTTTCTAAGCTACATTGCCGAGGTTGAACCATTGTGTCCATAATTGTCTATATTTTTAATTGAGATACATTTAGGCGGCCGGCATTTCGCTGCACAAATCGTACCTCCACAACGAAGTCATGATTTCCAAAAAACTGGCCGAAATTCGCTTGACGCTCTCCGAGTTTATCACGCAACAAACCGACATTCACCGGTTGACGGACCTCATCACAGCGCAAGGCAAGACCATCATGGTACCAATATTGTCTGTTGAGTATTCGGCTAGTTGAAACGATTCCGTGGACTTGTAGGAATGCGATCGGTTTGGTTTTTTGCTCGTGGACCATCTCAAAAATGAGCTCTGGATCACGTCGACCAATCAAGCCAATGGTGAAGAAATCACGGTGCGGCAGCCCATCTACAAGGGCATTTCGGGTCTTGTGGCAACGACCGGGGACACAGTGTGCACGCGCGACGCATGTACACTATTGTCATTTAAAAAAGTTACCCTGCACACGATAATCATCTAGACACGCACAACCTGTTCGACCCTACACACGACACGATGACGGGGTATCGCACCCAGAGCGTGCTGTGCATGCCTGTGTTTGAAGAGAACGTCCCGACCAACCCCAAGGTCGTCGCGGTGGCCATGTGCATCAACAAGCTCCAGGGATCCCACGTAATTGCATTTACGAGCGAAGACCGCAACACAATGGGGCGCTTTTGCAAAGAAATTCAGTACGCGCTCGGCAAGTTGTCGCTTGAAGTGTGCTACTACAAGGTACGCAACCCTACCCACGTGCATCTTGCGTCTTTGCATTATCTATCCTCGTTTCCTTTGTGTCAGTACGTGGTGTTCTTGACCCGTATATGACGACGCGACGTGGACGACTCTCATCTGGTCTGTGTAGGTCGTCAGCGACAAGCACGCGAGTGGCAGCGACGAGGTGACCGAAGCCGGCATCATTTCGAGTCTGCTTCAAAAGTACAGTCGCCGCACCTCGGGTGCCAACACGACCAAGTACGACGGCGGTGCTACCGAGTCGCAGCAGTCGGATGCCTTTGGACGCGATGTGCTCGTGCCGTCGCGACCAGAGCTCGACGCGTGGGACCTTGACATTCTCTCGTTTAGCTTTAGCGAGGTCATGGTGTCGGCGCAAACGCTCTTCCGTGCCTACGGCTTTGTGGACCAGTATAACGTTGCACCCGAGAAGCTCCAAGCCTTTGTCGCGAGCGTCGCGCAACACTACCGCACAAACCCATACCACAACTTTTACCATGGTTTTCAAGTCATGCACGCGGCGCACATGCAGATCAAGCTCTTTGCCCGCAAGCTCTTGCCGAGCCTGGATATTTTCTCGCTCCTCATCGCTGCACTTTGCCACGGTATGGATGCAAATTGAATTTGCATATGGATTGTATGGATTTGCATATGGTAGACGTGGACCACCCGGGCAACAACAACGACTTTGAAGTCAAGTGCGTGAGCTCGATTGCGCTCACTCACAACGACGACGCAGTGCTTGAGCGGCACCACTGCCGCGTCACGTTTATCATCTTGAACGCCCCGTCCACCAACATTTTGGACAAGTTGTCGTCGGATGCGTTTCGGCAAGTGCGCCGCAACATCATCCGCTGCATCATGGCGACCGATATGACGAACCATTTTGCGCAAGTCAAGACCATGGAGAACATGCCGCGTAGCCAGTGGACCGACCACTCGAACCGGTACGACGAGCGGCGGGCGACGTGGGTTGACCATACGTAGGGCGTTTCTGATGGAGTCCATTGTGCACAGCTGCGATCTCAGCGCCCAAGCTCTTCCGTTCAAGCTCGCGACCAAGTGGGGCGAGCGGGCGTTAGATGAGTTTCAGAACCAAGCGAAAGAAGAGACCGACTTGCAGCTCTCAATTGCTCCCTTCATGGAGAACCTCGAGTCCAAAGCCACGCGCTACAACGTCCAAGTCAACTTTGTCTGCTACGTGCTCCAGCCCATGTGGCAGGCCCTAGCGTCCCTCGCACCACCGCTGCAGGTAGCATAATTCGATATTCAATCGGTCGCAAATGGGTCGGACTAGCTCTACACGGAGACGCTCGCGACCAATTTGGAGCAGTACCGCGCCGAGCTTGCCGAGCTCACCCGGCAGCAGACAAGCTCCTAGGTTCAATTCCTCGCTTTTTCCATCAATCTATATAATTTTCAATGTATCGAGGCCAGTAGTCGAGAGGGTAGTGCGCTCACAGTGTACTCTCGGTTACGTCATCGACTGCGTCCTTTGCACAGTTGTAGTTGGTTCTGGTGGCGTCGTTGAAAAGGGTTTGATACAACAGGCAAAGTCGCTATCGACAAAGTGTTGTCTACTAGTTAACGACTAGACGGTCGACCGACGCTGGAGCGCGTCGAGCAAGCGCTGGGACGCCTCTTGGACTTCGATCAAACCTTCGTCGCGCACGATCTCGTGAAAGTGAGCGACCATCGGCAAGAGCACATTGGTGTTCCAGACGTCCATGTTGGTCTGGTGTGGCAGCAGTTGCGTGCAGAGCTGCAGCTGCAGCACAATCAACGGGACGTCCTCTTCAAACACAGGAAACGACGTGAGCGCGTCCGTGCACGTCTCCAAGAACGCCGTCCAAAACGTCGCGGGAAGCGCGCCAAGGACCCACGACGCGTCCTTGGCCAAGAGAATCGCCAGACTCTCGAGGCCCGAGGCCTTGACGTCGAGCACCGACGACGAGAGGATATCGCAGTATCCATGCACGAGATCCGTGTCCTACAAAATTGGTCAATTTGTCTTTGAAAAGCATGACAGGATGTCTGTACCGTAAACGGACACGCGACATACAAATGCGTCAGCGCGACCACAAAGAGATCTTGCAGCGAACTCGAGCCCGTGCCATAGAGGTCCACGAGCGTCTCGGCCACGTCCGCGACATACGGTGCCATGAACGGCCCGGCGCCGGCGACCGTGTGACCGACCGACCCAAGAAGCCGTTGTGCCATCGGCTACCAATGCATGATGGACTTTAGTGTCGATGCGCAAGAAAACAATATACCTTGGAGTACCGATGGAGCTGATGGAGACCCTTCTGCAGCATCGCCACGGTCGTCGCCACGAGCCGTTCGTAGGGCTCGTGGTTGGCGTCCGAGGTCGGCTGCAGCACAAAGAGCACGTCGCCAAACACGAGCGGGTCCGCAAGCTTCATGGCCACGTCCCGCACAAACGCCGCTTGGAGGTCCCAGAAGCGGCTGCCCATGCAATACATGAGCGCGATAAATGCCTACACTTTTTTAACGAGGTGCGTAGTACGACACAGTGTACCTCGGTCGTCGCGTCGCGGAGGTCGGGCAGCATGGCTTTGACGGCTTTGAAAAGGCGGTCTTTTGCGAGCTCCTAGGTAGGAGGCAGAGTGAGGCCGACTGTGTTTTCACAATGAGCATGAAATCCGACGGGCAGTTTGTACACGAGTGCCTCGAGCGTCGCAAACACGGCCGCGTCCGGCGCCAGCGCGTGCTGCTGCAAGTGGCCAGCGATCAAGAGGTCCCGAACACTCTCGACAAGGCCGTGGCCCAGCTCGAGCTGGCTCGGGTGATCCCACGGCAGTGCGCGCATGCTACAAGACTCCGTATGATGGCATTGCCAGGTGCGTCATATGCGGTTGTACGAGTCGAGGAGATGCGAGAGGAAGCGATTGAACGTCTCGTTTGCGATATCGCCGGCGTACTCGATGACCGTGAGGCGGTAGAGGGCCGGGAGGATCGTCGAGATGGAAGCTACGTCCGCAGTCAACGGCAGCGTCTCGAGAAACGCCACCCAGCGCGCGGCGGGCACGCGCGCCGCAAAGCCAAACGCCGGCGTCGAGGACGCAGTCGCCGTCATGAGCTGACGCGCACTCGGAAGCGCGGGAAAGAGTTGGTCGAGCACCACGTTGGCCAATGTGTTCCACTCGACAATATCGTTTTGGTAGTCGGTCGAATTCACAAAGACACTATATCGACAGGAGGTCGCATCATTATTCACAAAAAATCGATAATACCTTGTGTGGAGCTGCAGAATTTCGGGCAACACCTATCGCAACAGACAATAATGATACAGGCAACATGCTAGTATTGCAAGACAGTACCTCGGTCAAGAGGGTCGATGCCGTCGAGGGCTGGGTCTGCACCAAAACGTTGAGGAGCTCGCACGTCGGGCGAAACAGCAGCTGCGTCGAGAGCATATCGAGCGCGCACTGCGCCAATAGCTCGTGCGTCCATGTTAAAAGCACTGGCGCCAGCGACGCGCTCGTCGACTCGAAGCACTCCATGAGCCGCGTGCAGCCGCGCAGCGCCACCATCTACACGATCAACGCGTTCCATCAGTGGCTACATCCCACCCACTCTCAACCTTGAGGCCCAAGTACGGCTTGGACCAGTGCGGCAGCCGCAAGACGCGCAAAAAGACGGCTTCAAATGCACCGAGGTACGCCTTGAAGACACCCGTCTCGGTGACGTACCGAATGGTCTAGCCAGCAATCAGCGGCCATGGAGGAAGATCGCGTTACGTACAAGGCCAGCCGCCGAGAGGAGCGTGCCGAGCTGGCTTTCGTTGGGAATCGCCGTTGGCGATGCACTGTGATCGACGAGGTCGCACTGCGCGACGAGGTCCGTCAAGAGCGCGTCCGTCCAGTCGCGCGTGCCAGCTTCGCCCACGTCGGTGCGATGCACGTTGGCCTTGACAATGTCTACGAATTATATATGGTCAACCTGTGGAAAGAAACGTGGACGATCATGTCCATTCGGCGTACCGGCAATGGGCTGGCTTCCCGCGTTCGTCCAGAGCGCGTCCATGATGATGGTGATTGGGCTCACATTCATTGGCGGAGCGTTGCACGGATTTGGTATATGTTGAATCACGGAAATAGTGTGCTGCTGGGCGCGTGCCATGCTGACACGTCACGACATTGCCGATGGACTCGTGGTAGAGGCGGCGGAAGAGGCGATAGCGTCCATGGAAGGGGACACGTTCTTGGAACCGACCTTGGTAGACGCTTCGATTCTGTCACTATGCGATCGCACTGGACTCTGGCCACGAGAACGCTTGTGCGAGCTTGCGCATCGTTTCAACCTTGGTTGTGGCTGGCGTCCAAATCATGGTAATCTGTGGTGCGGCGTCTCTGGACATATACGCACTGTTGAAAAGGCCACTCGCGTCTGATTCAAACGGGCCGGAAACGATCTCGCGTCGCTCGCGGCTGCCTCGCACCAATGCCACCCAAACAGTAAGATCGTAGTTGTATCCATTCACAAACATCATGCATTTACTGCGGCAGCGCTGCGTTCCACGTGGCCCACGTCTTGGTCGCAAAGTAATCCTTGCTCTTGACCATGCGCACGAGCCAGTCGCCGGCAAAGATGCCACCAAAGATGGGGAGCTGTGCAACGCCACCGTCACGGCCAATCGGGATCAGTAGGCCTTGGGTCGACCCCGCCGCGAACGGCGCCAGTGGCGTGCCCTTTTTAATTTTCTTGACGAGGCCGGCGGCGAGGAACTTGGCTTGCTCGCCGGCAATGTACGCCATCTTGGGCGACGGATGGTTGCTCGCATCGCCGAGAGCGTAGACATTCGGGTACTTGGGGTCGTCGACTTGGAAGGCTGGTGTGACTTTGATGCCGGTGGGCGTCACCAGCGACGGATCCAGCGTCGCGACGAGCGACGTGTTGAGTGTGATACCCGCGCACACGAGCTGCACGTCGGAGATCACTTGGGTGCCGCCCGAGAGCGTGATCGTTTGGGTCGTGTACGAGTGCGCCGTGAGCCGCTCTGGCAGCCGTTCGCCAAGAATGAGCTTGACACCGCGCTGCGTGAGGCCGTCTGCAAGGCGGGAACGAAACTTGTCGGAAACCACAGCGGTTGACACGAGCTCCTTGCTGCCGTCGACAAGCGTGACTGTCTTTCCCGGGTATGTTGTCGCAATCTCGCCAGCAATTTCGCAGCCGACGGCGCCGCCACCGATAATCAAGACGCTGGACGCTGCAGCGATGCGGTCGTACGTCTCGAGGAGCGACGCCTCGATGGTCGACCGGTTGTACACGTTGTTGGCGACCTTGATCGGCGCGGGGTACGAGCTGCCCGTGGCCAGCACAAGGTGATCAAACCGAATCGACTGCGTCGTCTCGCTACGCTCGTTGTCGGCGGTGATGGAGCGCACGACCACGTCGTTGGCCGATATCGACTCGGCGACGCCACGCACAAGGGTCGCGTGGGCAGGCAGCGCCTTGTCGAGCGGCATAAAGAGCTTGGGTACAAAGCTCTTGTCCACGAATGCGCGCGGGGCGCCGATCGCATGGAACGAGAACGACTGTTGCTCAATGACGGTGACGTGCGCAACGGTCGCCGGCAAGCTTGCTGCGAGGGCCTGCGCGAGCTGGATGCCAGCGTAGCCGCCGCCAACAATGACAATCTCCTGCACCGTGGTCGTCATCTGAGGTCGACGTGGAAAATAAGAAATGAGATCCATACAGCGGCGACCGTGCAAGATCGCGACCAGTGGCGTTGGACCATCGCCGATGATGACCGACGCCCGTGGTCATCAACAGCAAACGTGGCAAATATGCTTACGTTATCATCGTTGGATTGGATAAAAAGCGGCGAATGAAAACGCGCCATTGGCGAGACAAAGGAATACGCCACTTGGATTGGTCTTATTTCGAACCAATCGGTGTGGCAATGGACGATCCAAGCTGACGGATCCTTGATAGACCAGCAGAAGTTGCTTCTGCTGGTCTATTCGATAGGGTACAGTCAAGATCGAGCCGACGCACGCTGCCTATACCACGTTCACGCCTGCGAGGACTCCAAGAGAAGGCAAGGAAACACCCTCTGCAACTGCCTCTTTGTCGATCTGCGGCGCTGTCGGTGTTGCTCCAACCCACGAGCGCTCCAACGACTTGACGTTGTGCCACAAAATACGGTCGAGTTGTTGGTCTCGCTTGCCCTGACGTACTCGTTTTGATTTCCGGCCTTGTCAACAGTTCAAGACCCTATCTTTACCAGCAAAGCCAACGAGCTATAACAAACTAGTACTGGAGTAGAGTGCACGTGGATACCAGTACTGCATTCATCCCTCAAGAGTACCGAGGTATCCAAAGATGACGGTATTAATCAGCGTTGATGGCCATTTTGGCGGCTCGTCATCGCTTATCGCGGAACGAAGCCGGAATGGAATTCACTGGAGCTTTGGTCCCAGGCGCGATGATCACAGTCTATAGCCATACCTGCCACTATATCTTGGGGTAGAGCGCAATAAAGAACGAGCTGCAGGTGCCATCGAGGCCAAGGGAGCTTGTGTCATGCATCTCACTTGTAGTGGCCGTTACCATTTTAGCCAATCGCATGCAAGTTGACGGCACGGTCCGCTGGGATTGGCTGTAATATAGCCAATCTCGTGTCCGCATGCGATGATCACGTATCATCGGGCTTCGGTGAAGGATTACATCATGTCACTTTAGCAAACGCGACCAACGAGGATGACATCGTCCACGTCCGCCGCGCCGCGCATCGTCGTCGTTGGCGGCGGCTACGCAGGCATCCAGTTTGCGCAGTCACTTGCCTACTATGCGCCAGGCGCCAGCATCACGGTCATCGAGAAGCAGACCTTTACCTTCCACGCCAACGGCATGCCACGCGCCTTTGTCGACAAGTCGTATGTGCCCAAGCTCTTCATTCCGCTCGACAAGGCGCTGCCGTCGCATGTGACGCTCCTCCGCGGCCTCGCCGTGTCCATGACGGATGCGAGCGTGACTGTCCAGACCATCGACGTCGATGGCATCCTCGCCGCCGACACTACGGAGCTCGCCTTTGATTATTGCGTTCTTGCGACCGGCAGCAGCTACGCGGCGCCCATCAAGGTACCCGAGAACGTCTACACGCGCGAGGCCATCGAGGCGTCGGTGCATGCGGCCATTGATGCGATTGCAGCCGCTGAGAGCATCCTCGTCATTGGTGGCGGCGCCGTCGGCTGCGAAGTCGCGGGTGAAATTGCCGTCAAGTACCCGACCAAGACCGTGACGCTAGTCGACGGCAACACCCAACTGCTTGCCAGCGCCAACGTGTCGGAGCAGTTTCGGACCAAGGTGGCCGAGGGCCTTGTCGCGCACGGTGTCAAGCTCGTACTCGGTGAGCGCCTCCCGAGCCGACGCACCGCCCACTCGTTTACGCGCGAAACCATGACGCTCTCGGGCGGGACCGTCATCGCTTCGGACGTGCAGCTCGTGTGCGCGGGCATGACGCCCAACACGAGCCTCGTCGCCGCACAGCATCCGTCGCTCGTGACGCCCCACGGCATCAACGTCACTACCTCCATGCAGCTCGAAGGCAAGGACCACATTTTTGTCCTTGGAGATGCGAGCAACCACCTCTCGCCCAAGATGGCGTACGTGGCGATGGAGCAGGCCAAGCATTTGGGATACGGGCTCGCGCAGCACCTTCTGTACAAGACGCCGTTGGCACCATTTGCGATGAACCCGATTGGTCTCATGCTCCTGCCGATTGGACCGTACGCGGGCGTCGCGCAGTTTCCCGTGCCTTTCTACGGTGCGCTCGTGCTCGGCGACTGGGTCGTGCGCTTCATCAAGGGTGCCGACTACTTTGCGAGCCGGACGTGGGGGACGTGGAACGCTTCGGTGCCGTCCTAGGCGCTCTGACATGGAAGTTGGTGTATATAACCAGAATACAATCGCTTTTGAAATATGAGCAGATACTAAAACATTTCCGATTCACATCTCGGCGGTCGACGAGGTGTGGCGACGACCGTCGCTTCGGACGACTCTACCAACGAGACGGTACGAACAGTGGATGTCATTTGAGTGAACCCTTGTCGACCCCGCTGTAGAGTCTTCCAAGCCTGATCGGGCAGGCTATTTGCAACTGTTGGCGAAAATATCTCGACTATCAGAACTATCGCAGCCTCCGTTTTCATGGAAAATTGACACGACAAATGGATTGAGAGTTATGTATTACCTTGCATCCAACAAGAAAAAGCGGCCCATTAACGGCCGCGACGACTCAAGGCGCCAACGTCGCCTTCCACTTGCCCCACGACATGCTCGCAAAGTAATCTTTGCCTTTGGTGGTGCGCACGAGCCAGTCGCCGACGACGACGCCGCCAAACATGGGCAGCTGCCCAACGCCGCCGCCCGGACCCGTTGGCACAAGCATGGCCGTGATCTCACTTGTCTTGAACGGAGGCACGGGCGTGCCTTTCTGAATGGTCTTGGCCAGCTTCTTGGCGAGAAACGCTGCTTGCTCGCCTGCAGTCATGGCCAGCTTGGGCGACGGGTGGTTGCTCGCGTCGCCAAGGACATAGACATGATGCAGTGACGAGTCGTCGACTTGGAGATTGCTCTTGACACGGATACCTTGCGGCGTTGCGAGCGATGGGCGAAAGGCGGCCATGAGCTGCGTGTTGGGCGTCATGCCCGACGTCACCAGCTGCACGTCGGCCGTGAGGGTCTTGCCACTCGCAAAGGTCAGCGACTGACGCTCGAACGAGCTCGCACTCGGACGCTGCGCGAGGCGTTCGTTGAGCAAGAGGCGGACACCACGCGCTTCCAAGCTCGCGACGAGCCGCGCGCGAAACTTGGCCGAGACACCGGCGTGCGCCATGAGCTCGCGGTTACCGTCGACAAGCGTCACCGTCTTGGTCGGGTACGCACTCGCAATTTCGCCGGCAATCTCGCACCCGACAGCGCCGCCACCGATGAGGACGACGCTGGACGCAGCGGCAATGCGGTCAATGCTCTCGTGCAGCGCGGCTTGGATGGTCGCGCGGTTGACAACGTCGCCTGGCACTTTGATCGGACCCGGGTAGCTGCTGCCCGTTGCCAACACGAGGTAGTCGAAGCGAAGGGTCGTCGTCGACTCGGCGAGTGCGCCATCGACGATCGCACGTACGGTCACCTCGTGGTCGGTGATGCGCTCGGCCGCGCCGCGCAAAAGCGTCACACTGGGCGGAAGCGCCTTGTCGAGCGGGATAAAGAGTTTGGGGACGTACGCCTTGTCAACAAGGGCGCGGGGAATCCCGACAGCGTGAAACGTAAAGCTTTGCTTCTCGATCACGGTGATCTTGACGGTCGACGAGAGCTTGGCCGCGAGCGCTTGGGCAAACTGGATGCCGGCAGGACCGCCACCGATGACGACAACGTGTTGTTGCTGGACCATGTTGGGAGTGTTGAGTAGATGCAAGATTTGGAAATGAATTTAGGGGGTGACGACGAGATGCTTGGCGCCATTTTAGGAGGGGCAGGATCTCGCGACTGATGATGGGCATGCGGCGTGGCCATGGTGCTGTTGTTGTTGATGGCGCGATGGCCATCATCGACGCATGATTGGCTACATTCCAACGAATCAGAGACGATG